TATATATATATATATATATATATATATATATATATATATATATCTTTAATTTATAATTACATATACATATAAATGATTTTTAAAATATTTGAAACAATCAACAGTATTGTAAATATTATTTTGGAAAACATTAAATTAAAAATTAAAAAAAAATTTTATTTTTGAGAATATAGTTTACAATATATTAATTATTATCATGTGACTAATTTATAAATTAATATCATATAATCAATTCAAAGTAGGCTATAAAAATCTGTTTTTCTATATCTAATCTATATTCATAATTTTATTTTAAAATTTAGTTTCAATTCTAACTATTATTAATGTTGCAATTCTATTAATTAAATTATAAACCAAATCGATAATGTTGAAAATGATACTAAAATGGTAAGAAGATTCTAGTGCTCTCGAATGCTATGAAATAAAAAAATATATTGAAGGAAATTATAAATTCATACAGAATATTTCTAATAATAAATAAATACACAAATAAATAAATACTAAGAGTATGTACTTATTAGAATTTAGAATTAAAATTGATTAATATAAAATTAATTAATAAATTAGAGTAATTATAAAAAATCATTATTAAACATTAATTGAAACTAATTATAAATAATTGAAGCACTTATGAAATTTTATATTTGTAATAATTACATTTTATATCTAATTTATATATAGTAAAGTTACACTAAAGATAATGATTATATTGTTATTAAGATCGATAAACGAACATAATGAGAAAATGAAAAAAAGTAATTTGAGATCAAAACTAATTAAATTATTAATGATATATAGTATTTAATATTTATATGACATTGGGGTGAGTGAACGAGCGCGCGCGCGCTCATATTCACGCTGCGATCACAGACGATCGAAAAATACTGAGGGCAGTCAGTCGCGAGCTTTACGTTTCATCGGATGATCACTACTAGTAACGTGAATTTTTACGATTGTGTCGAAAACGATGATTTTTCAAAGGATTTTCTTAATTCGAATAAAAAAAAATAAAAATATCAGAAAAAATTAAATTAAATTGAAACGTATGTTATTTTAAAAATAATAGAAAAATACGTAAAGAAATACGTATACATAAAAAAAAAGATTAGCAAGAGTAGGGAAAAAAAGGAAAAAGAGAAGGAAAAAGGAATGAAAGAAAACGTGGAGCAATTTTGAACGCAGGAAGGATATACGAATAGGAAACAGAGATGCAGCATTTTTATATAATTAATCGTTTATTTTTATTCGTTCTAATTTATCAATCGATGAAGATCAATGGAGAGAAAATGGAAAGAAGAGAGAATTCATTCTGTCATCCATTTCCTAGTATTATTTTGGATCAAAATAAAATTAATAAATTCGAGAATGGAAGTATAGTATACAATAAATTAATGTATCCTACTGAATCATATCATGTATTTGGAAACAAAACATATGGATGTATATGTAATTTGCAATCATGCTTGAGAAAATGTTGTAAACGAAACGAGATTCTAGGGGAAGGTATTCGACCTAATTGTACTCGCTTATCAAGTGAATCATTTATTCAGAAATCTCTCGTTCTCGAACGAAATCAACTCGCAGTTGAAATCCAAGAAATATCTAGATTAAGCGATCAGTTTTTTCTGATAGAGGACATGCAATGTTCCGAAAATTTAAGCAGACTTCTACTCGAACCAGAAAATATCGAAGAAGATGCGTATGTGTTACAAGCAAATGGTATTCTTCAAACTTACAATGGCGACAAATATGAAGCTTGGAATTATTGCCTCGATTGGAAAGAACCTTCCAAAAAAATTGCTGTTTTGGTTTGTACATTTAATATGTCTACAACGACTTCAAATCCAGTGGATGCCGGAATCATAATTTCTATTCCATTCTTTTTCGCTACTTTCTTTGTGTATGCGATTATTCCAGAATTAAGAAATCTCTATGGAAAAACTTTAATGTGTTATGTGGCTTGTTTGGTGGTTGCCTATACTTCTCTCGTCTTGGCCAAACTACTTTTTTTTAAGTACGTCTTCTGCAGCGCAATAGGTAAGAAATTTATAACTCGTTGCCCTCTCTTTCTATCTTTCTCTCTCTTACTGCTTTGTTTATTTGAAATTATGATTATTAATCGTGTTTTTTTTATTTTATTTCTTCGATCTTATATATTATATGTATTAAATATGTTTTATGCACAATACTAAAATTACGATATCAATCGATTGAAATTTTCGATCCACCCTTTCTTTCATAGATAAACCGAGTGCGATAAAAAAAATTTCGAACAAATAAGGTAAATCATAAAATCTAATATAATATTTCGATCATCTGTATGATATGAATTAAATTGTTAAAAAAAGAACGCAAAAAAATAGAAAAGAAATTAACCTATCGAAATCAATAAATTTTATAGTTTTGTTTTATAGTTTATACATTTAAGCACGTATTAGAAATACGACATGAGCACACGTGCCATTAATATATTCATGTTTTATTCCTAGTTTTTATCATATATAGTTTTATTCATATTTTATTTTATTATGATCATTAATATATAATAAAATATTTAAATACATTTAAGCAATTTGTAAAACGCATATATGATTTTGTAAATTATCATATAATACACAATTTCTGTTTATTAAATTTAATTAAATGATTGTTTGTTTTCATTAACGGTGCTTATTTCCTTTTTATTTTTTTTTTTTTTTTTAGTATAATAATAATCTTCAAATTTATTAAAATGAATTAAAAGGAAATTATCATTAAATGAAATTCTCATAATATAATTTAATTTTAAATATTTATTTTCCTGCAATGAAATTTCATTATTATTTCGTTGGTAACACATTAACAACAAATAATTTTATATTTTCATAGCCAAAGTTTTGATATTTAAATATATTCATAACATGTACATTAAAAATTACCATTAAAACATGGATTTCCACCTTATTATAGTTAATATTTAATACTATAGTTAGTACTAATAACTTAATCTATTAGTATACTTACTAATAGTGATAGAACAAAAAACAAATTCATTCAACTGTTGAAATTAAGTTAGATCATTGAAGATCAAAACAATTATCTTATTAATAATATGAATGTTAATAAAAGAAATATATTTATATATTTATATTTTATAAAATTTAAGAAAAAAAAATTATTCATTGCTCAAAACATAAAATTAAATATAGAAATCAAAATATTTTTAACACTGGTATATATCATCTTCTAAAAGGATATAAAAATAATTTTCTTTTTTAAATAAAAGTAAACGACTAGACGATAAAAATTTTGATAAATAAATTTTGATAACAATGCACTTCTTTCACTTCTTCTTCATCATTCTTTTTTTTTATTGTTCTTAATTTTTACTTCATCCTTAAATACTAAAAACGTATATCATAATGATTCTTATTCCACGGAAAAACTCATTTTGAAAAATTTGTAATATATATATATTTTTTCATATTTTCATTCAATTAACATATTGCTTCAATTATCTTATTGTAAGTAAAGGTAGTCGCGTGTCAATGTCACATAGATAATAAAGTACTCTAAACTTTATTTGCTATAAAGTTTAAAGTTGAAATTACGAATAGATTCGCGGAAAAATAATTTATTAGAAAATCCTCTTTTATATATAATAAGTACAGAGCATAGATGCAGAAATGTGCTTTCGTATTTCTGTACAATTAATGATGCAAATTAATGATGCAAATATTGAAAATATATCAAAATTATATCGACGTAGATCTATGAATGATGAAAATCAAATAAATATTCAAATATTTCAAAACTTGTTAAAAGATATTTAAACAATATATCAATATTTGAAAAAAAATGAATATTAGAAATAAACGAAAAAAAATTGATCGTTGAAAGATTCATTGAAAAAGAATTTATTAGAGGAATATCATTTATCTTGTATTATAGAATTGCACATCTATTTTCGCACATACATTTCTGCATATAGTGTTATATAATATATATATATATATATATGCATACATATGCAATCGTGTCAGTATTTAATTGCAAATTGATAGTAATCATTCTAATGACGTAAAGAAAAAAATGATAACAAAGATGTACATATATTTATTAAAATAATATTCTTGAAATAATATTAATTAAAAGATCAGTAAGATAAAATTTTTGTATCAGAAATTAAATTCATATCGATTATTTAAAAAATTATCATTTCAATATTTTTTATTTTTATGATTTATATCAAATTAGATATATGAATTTCTTTAAAAAATATTTTTTATGCTATTTTATTCCATATTTTTTTATAAATTTGTATTTTTTGATATTTTTTTAAATAAATTTTCAATAAAAAAAACTGTTCACTTTGTGATATTTATATTTGTGTAAATATGATGTAAATAAATTTATATTTGTGATTATTTTTTAAGGCCTGATCATTAATACGTTTTCTCTGATTCATTTGATACCAATAAATGGTATCTTATCTAACAATATCGATAAATTTTCTGAAATTTTCCCCTTTCCATTTGGTTTAATCGAATTTTCGTATTGTATTCGTTTTGTATTTAAAATGTTTAATACTTTTGCACTCACTTTTTATAGGTACTCAAAATTTTATAATAAGTTTTTTTCTATTCTCTTCTATTTTCTATAATTTTTTCACTTTCGATGTACTCTTTAAACCTCTAAAAATAAAATATATAATCGAAATATTTAATATATGCATTTAATATAAAAATATTAACACAATATTATTAAATATTTTAGCTAAAGATTTTATTTATTTTTTTTTTTTCAAGTTGATTAGCTTGATACATAACAATTTTATTAATTTATTATTACTTAAATTCATATAATGCTTTCGTTTCAATATTTAATAATATAATGTCAAAGTTCAAAGTGCAAAATTTTTTACAAGAAAATAAAGTTTCTTGAATAAATTTATCGATATAATTACATGATTTTAGTATATTATAATATATTATAGTATTTTGTAATAAACTAATCACATGTGTAATTACCAACAAATTGGTGTCAAGTAGTAATACTTAATAATAGTTTTATGAGCAATAAAAATGGATCAAACAATACCAATACAATACTTAATAATTTAAAAGATGCTTAGTTAATACAGCATTATTATGACAATATATTTTATTAATTTTATCAATATCATTTTCTCTTCTCAAAAAAATCAGGACAAAATTTGACAATGAAAATGTTACTATCTCTAAATAGATATAAACAAGTATAATCTAGTCGGTTATTTTTAGTAATATAAAAATTTGTTGAGTGTGAAACGCGAATTAATTGAATAAAATTTTTTTGATTTATATTATTATTAAATATTAAAAATAAATATTATATGAATTAATGAGTACATGTATACAATATGTTTTTTTCGGTTTTTTTTGTTCGTATCCTATTACCAAAACTGACCGAGTTTTATCCATTCTTGATCGATACTTAAAATTTAAATTTCAAGGTTTTTTTCGGAGATTTCCTGTTTTTCAATACATGAAGACAAACAAGAACAGATTGCAATGCCTCACCTTGACTCACCTTACCTTACCTCTCTCCTTACTTTGAATTTCTCTTCTTTTCATCTTTTATCTACTTTCCTTTGCTTTACCTTGATATGACATATGACATGATATCCGATATCATAGTGAATGTATGTGAAAAAAATATCTTGTATTTGCTCGATGACGGTGCCCTTTATATTTAAGTAATCCAGAATTTTATCTTATTTTTCGAATAATTTTCCTCAATAAATTTTAGACATTTCTTTTGCGAAATTCATTCGATTCAATTTCCAAAACTGAATATTTTGTATTATATTGGTGCACTTATATAAATTTAATATTTTGTCGAATTATATACGGCATCATATTATTTAAGATTTTTTTGATTTGAAATTTAAGTATTATTTAATTTATTATTAATTACGTATATTAAATGAATAAAATAATTTCGAATTCTTAAAAAATACATTATTATGTTAAAAACAATCGAATAGTTTATACTAATAAATGTTTAATATTTAGAATTAATATTTAGATTTACGTATAAATATACAACAATAAATTTTTATATATTTTATATCGTAATAAAATTTTAATAAGTCATAAAAAATTAAAGTAATAAAAATCAATCTCTCAATTAAATTACCGATTAAATAGATATAACATATTCATAATAATTCGTTGTTTGCTTATTTTTTGACCTTCGCTAAATTACCTTTGCCGCCAGGAATTTATCTTTTCTCTTTCTTTCTCTTCCTTCTTGTCACCTTCTTTTTCATTTTTATTTATATAATATATAATATATATTTATATATCTTTATATATATTTATATATATATATATATCTTTTCGATTTTTTTAATTAAAAGTTTCTATAACAATCAGATGAAAAAAAGTGAGGAAAATAAAAAAGAAATAGATAAAAAAAATAAAGAGAAATAAATAGAAGAAGGGGTAAATAGGGAGAGTGGGAAGCAGAAAAGTGACAAGGATAACGAAAAAAGGAAGGATAAAACGAAAACGCTGAAATCATTCCCAGTAGTTAGTCGGTTGCAACGTGACGTGACCAACCGACGTTATGAACATTAGCAATCGTATCGTTTCCGTGTAAAACGATAATGGCTGTGGTCATTATAAATCTGAACGAATCGTGATAAATAGTTGCTTGACGAAAATCTATCTACCAAGATGTTTCGTGTCGTGATCGGTGATTTATTATTAACGATACTCGCGATAAACTCAATTCAATCGTCTTCACAATTCAATACAACACCATCTCTTAACCAAGATTCAACCATCAATTTCGCCATACATGAATCGAATGTGAAAATAGATAACGATAACAGAACGAAATATTTTCATTCGGATGAAGATATCGAGAAATCAAAGATGGGAAATATTTTTACGAATGCAGAGAGCAAGGATCAATGTTTTTCCAATGTTTTTTTCATGACTGATGGAAAAGCATGTATTCCTTTATGTTGCCCATATGGAAATCGTATGACGAATGAAAAATGTATTGAAACAAATAATACTTATCGTTTTCCGCCCCTTTACAACTCGAATAATTTAACGTTGATCGACGAGACACCGGATTATCGACGCTATTTCCATTTATCCGTTAAAGATCCTTGTATAGGTTGGCAACGTTATAAACTTAGTCCAGAAGAATATTTCGAAGATGAATTCATGATTCTTGATAATGGTTCAGTCTACAAGTACAACAAGAACGAACTTTTTCGAGAGACTGATTATTGTCTCGGTATCATTTTATCTACCGTATTCGATGTAATTATTTGTTACAAGGATGACATTGAAATAAATGTTAACAAAGTACTTTATCCCATCGGAATGATCGTATCAGTACCGTTCCTGTTTGCCACGTTTATCGTCTACTGTTTGTTACCAGAGTTGAAAAATTTACACGGCTACACACTTCGTGCACATATTGCTTCTCTATTAATCGCCTATGTGACACTCTCAAGCGTAAATGTTATTCCGCAAGAACATATTTCGAATTCTCTCTGCATTATATTTGGTACTCATATAATGATTTTAAATAATTTTATCTCTATAGATTGATATTTCTAACATAAAAAATATATACGCAATATATGTGTATAAGATTTCGTGTTATTTATGCGTTGCATCGCGTTTTTCTTTTTTCTTTTTTTTCTTTCCATTTTATATTATATGAATACAAATTTTTATGTACTAGTATATTTAAATTGCCATTGATCATTTATATTGAATTCTGTTTCAGCATTCATCATTCATTTTTCTTTCTTGGCTAGTTTCTTCTGGTTGAACGTTATGTGCTTCGATATTTGGTGGACATTTGGGTAAGTTAATTTTTTTCTATTTAGCTCGATCATTTATGCATATCTTAATTCATAACTTTTTTTTTTACATTTCATTTTGGTTTAATTTCTTAATCAATCGCGTCGTATTAAATTGAAATATGTCGAGGTAACAGTATATTTACAATGCTTTCGAATTAAAAGCTTATTATAATCGATGATATACGCAGCATGGAACGTGCTACAAAAATTATCTCCTTAATATCCTTCCAGCTAAAGCAATTCGATAGTTGACGATCGTCAAGGGAAATTGATAGCGACATACGTGAATTAATATCCGGTTCATGACGGCACGTGTATACTTTGTAAACATTCTTAAATTAAGTTCGATCGGTCCACAAAGCAGACCTACGGTTTCTTTCTCAAGTACTTTTGTTTCATGAACATTCAATATGTTATTAACATCACAAGTTTATTTAACACTACGACAACAATGTGTCTTTTATTCCTTTCGATCAATCCAATCTTGCCTTCTCTATGCACAAATAATTTTTCTCCGAATTCTCTCAATAACATTAAAATTTTTAATCAAATAAACGCGTCTGTTTCTATTGTCCAAGTATGATTGAAATGATAATACGATAAATTATTAGGAATATACTTTTATGTATTATATATAATATAATATATATATATATATATATTATATAAAAATGCATATGTATGTAATATATGTGTTTTCATTTTATGAAAATTATTTTATATGAAAAAATATATAATAAATGCAAATATTACATTATTAGAAAAGCGATTGCGTCTTAAAAATCAAAAGTAAAATATTTCTTTCTTTAACGAATTGAATTCTTATAAAAGTATTTGAGAGATCTATCTACATACATATGTGTATGTATTTGTAAAGCACCAGGTGTACAGCAAACAAATCGTGACGTATGTTCTAAACAAATCTCGAAAGCTCGAAAACTGAGAATCGGTCTTTTAGTTCTGACGCCGACGCCACATCGACGCCACACGGACGCTATACCGACGCCATATCGACGCCACATCTATATTACGCTACACATACCGGTACTATACATATGTACTGATGCCGATATTTTTCATGCTTCGATAATTTTTGAAAAAATAAAAGAAATTAATAAAATGATAAATAAATGTTACTATTTATTAGAAATAATAAGTTTAATCGATTAATTATAATATACAAATGCTTCGAAAAATTTTAAATCATCATTGATCGATATGTTTTATAGATTATTGAGTACTACTATGTAATGATATTTCGATATTTCAATTTTCTTCTTTGCTGAAAAAAAATTATCCGAATAGCATGCAGTAATCATCGATTGAACCGTTTTTTTTTTTTAATTTTAGATTATTTGATTATAAATTCATTGTCAAGTTTTTTCTTAATACATATGTGTCGTTTATAATATATAGCTTGTAATCATTAGAATAACGAGTTATCGGTCATTACCAAGTATTTTTTTTATTACATATGTAAAGCATATAAATACATAGGTGTGACGAATGTAATTAAGGGTGTGACTATGTAGTGCGACGTTGAATCATATTATACAACATACATACACGTTCATGTATAGATAGAGATCAATTAGAAATTATCTTCTTATCTAATTTAATATTAGAGGATCGTACATAGACATTTCTTGAATATCTATTATTTATTCGTAATTTCTATTAATAAAATACTTTTAAAGTTTGTGCGTCATTTTTTCAATTTTATAAATTGTACTTTTCCGTTTTTCATTTTTTCACTTTCTTCATTTTTTTTTTTTTTGTTCATAAGTTGAATATTTCAAGGAACAAATTCAAAATATTACTATATATTCAAATAAAGCACGAATAAATAGAATAATTAAATTTAGAATCTTAATATTTCGTTTAAAAATAAAAAAAACGTATTTTTATTTCTTCTCGTGCAAACGATGTATGTACTTTATTAATAATTCTTAAACGATCGTTTGAAACTATAAATCTTACTTTTGTAAGATGTAACAGCAGGAAATATAGAACACGTCATTTAAAACCACAAGCTCATATCGTGTAAAACAGGGCTTCCCAAATTTTTATGAGACTCAAGTTTACAACGATCTTCACGATTTACTCGCTATATTTTTTTTTATAAAAAAAGCGATCTTTTAATAAAAAAATATATTTTAACATTTTTAAGTTTTTTATTAAATACATATAATTAATATGTAAATTTATTAATAAAATATATAATACATAATACATAATATATAATACATAAGATGAGTTTGTTTAATATTTAATATTTGTTTGTTTAATATTTGATGTAATGCAGCCATATTTTAGAGTATAATATATATGTACATATTATATATTGTGATTAACGAAAAAAGATAATGGAAATCTTGTACTAATTATTTTTTCTTTTATTTTTTTAAGTTTCATTTTTCATGTATTTTTTCATTTCTATTTTTTTTTTTTTTAATTCTATTTTATTTACTAAAGAATTTCTTATTTTCAGAGGCTTTCGATCCTTACATGGCAGCGTGAAACAAAGAGAGCGTAAAAAATTTTTAATATATTCGATTTACGCCTGGGGTTGCGCAGCGATTCTCACCGGAGTTTGCGCTATTATGGACTTTCTGCCTAAAATTCCAAATTATTTAATCAAACCAGACTTTGGAAAAATGAATTGTTGGTTCACAAGTTAGTTTTAAGTTTTCACATATAAGATAACGAGTTTTCTTAAACAAATAAGAATTTTTAAACTTAATCAAGATTTGAAATTTAAAATTTCATATCTTATATAAGTATATTTTTAATTTTGATAAACGTTTGTATAGGAGATGAAGCAAAGGCATTATATTTTTACGGTCCTATGGGTATCACTGTTCTTTGTAATATATGTCTTTTTATTTCTACGGCATTAAAAATACGACAACATGGAAAAGATACGGCCCAACATCTCAGAGGTATAGATAGTAGACGCCATGATGACAATAAACAATGGTTCGTTTTCTTTTTGTTTATAATATTTTTAATTATACATCTATTGTAGTGTTATCATATAGTATGTATAAAATATCGATCATTCAATAATATATATAAAATAGTTGATTAAATGCTAAGATTTCGTTTCCTTCTATTTATTTACATCGATATACTTTTACATTATTGTTCTTATTTCATGCTTGTGACGCTAAAATTATTTTCAGACCTTCTTTTAGAACTTGTACAATAAGGATTTTCCCATGGTTTGATTTGTTTTTGTAATGACGAAAGCGGGTCGCTCTCGCGTAACAAAACATACATCCGTCTGAAGAGGATTTCGCCCGCGATTGCATGTTTCGTCTTTATCATTGATCTTAGCATTTATATCTGAAAAAAAATATATATATATTTATAGTATACATTTACAGTCATTTGCAAAAATATTTATACTATATATTATAAAGAAATTCATCTTATCCGAAAATTTTGATTTATATGCATAGAATATGAGGGATTTATGGATATACAATTTTTTTTGTCAATGAAAAATCTCATTAAGTGAATGAAATCAATTTCTATAAATGTTTCAGAACTTTTTTAATTTTGAATATAATTTCACATGGAAACTATTTTAGTAGACAAAGTAACGGAGTACGATAGAGTATTAAAATCAAAATTTTATAATTTTATAATTTAATATTTTGGTCTATTATTTTGTATTATTACAAAATTATATTTAAAAAAAACGAAAAAATATTAAAACTTTAAATAATGATTTCATTTTCTTAAAATGAGATTATTTATTTATTAAAAAAATGTTGCATATAGATTTGCATATAAATGTATTTTATTATATTTGTATATTTGCAAGATTTCATTAAAAATAAAAGAAAGTAAGTATGTAAAGTATAATTACGGTATATATTTTTAACAAAATATTTAAAGAGATAAAATCAATGTCTAAATTTCAATATTTTTTCAATAATATAATTCAATAATATAATTCATTTTTAACATAACTTCATATTTTTTTATATAACTTTATAGTAATATGAAACAGAAAATTTTAAATTAAAATATTTATATTTTTTTAATCTTCTATTATTCTATAAAAATATCTCCAGATAAAATTATAAAAAAAAATTATAAAATCTAAAATTGAAAAAATGCTGGAATCTTTGGAAATTGAATTTATTTCCTCAAAAAGATTTTTCATCGATAAAAAATATTCCATATATTGCATATAAGTTATGCATATATGAATCATAATTTTTATAATAAGATGAATTTGTAATATAAAGATATATATTTTCATAATTGATTATTTATTATATATAATACATATCATGAAAAGTCTATTAAGTCAAACTCATTTTTCTGCGATTTTATGATATATAAAATTATTCATATATAAATATCTTTATATATATATTATAAAATTATTTTAATGTCTCATTTAATTAAATGTGAAATTTAATTTGCTTTATCCAGGTTTAATCTATATTTGAAACTGTTCATTGTGATGGGTATAAATTGGTCAATGGAAATAATATCATGGCTCTGTAACAATACACCAACATATCTTTGGTATCTTACTGATTTTACGAATACTTTGCAAGGTGTAATTATTTTCATAATTTTCGTTTGGAAAGATAAAGTTAAAAGACTACTGTTAAGAAGATTTGGTTGCCATGAAAGTAATATTTTTTCAAGAAATTCAACTCGTAGTGGTTGTCGTACTTGTACATCAACAACTTCCGCTCCATCGTTTCAGGAAAAGATCGTCACATATTCGAATGAATCTTTTTGTGACAAAACAATGGTCGATAATTAAAAGTTAGCTTTAATCATTTCTGTATCGTGATTCATTATGTATCATTTACACAACTTTATAAAAATAACAAATGAAAAAAAGAAACAAAGGAAATTTTAATTGAACTATATTAGTTTTTGACAAATCTATATTCGATTTATATTCGACATTTCATCAAAATATCAATTGATAATGAATTAGATCAAATATTGAATGTGAATTTTCTTGAAGAATTTCTAGTCATCGTTATGTGCTGCCTTTCTAATATTCGTTTTTGCTACTACATAATCGTTTATATGTAAATTTGAAACATTTAATTTTTATTTTGTCATAAAATAGTAATGATTTTTAGAAACTATTAAATTTAATGCCAATATAATAGTGTACAAATAAATTAGATCTATTTTATCAGTTATTATTTATTTATATTATATTTTATTTATAGTTATTTCCCTTTCTCTTATCATTTAAATTTTAGTATAATAATAATTTTTCATTATTTGATATTACAAAGTTTTTATAAATTTTTTTATAAAATAAGAAAATGACAAAAACGTTATTTATATCAAAATGTATATTATTCTTTATCTTTATCAAATCAAATATGCAAAATTTTTGTACAGTTTTCTTACATATACATCTAATTAAACACATATTATATATATATTTTATTCTAAAACAATGTTAAAATACAAAGTAATTAAAATTTGAAGTAATATTAAAATAAATCTATTCATTAAACATTATATACTAGGGATCCAAAATTTTGTTACAAATTATCATCAATGTACTAATTATTTATTAATTATTTATTTAAAATTATATTTTAGTTGTATATAAACACATATATGTCATTGTATAGAGAGAATGAATACGATATTGATAATATCGAGTTTCTATTCTCATTTCATTCATTTTTTTATCATTTGTTTATGCAAATACATCTTCTCTATCAGCTCCAACTCCTTCTCCATCCTCTAAACTGGAAAAATTCAAAAAATGGGCAGGTCTGTGAATTTCGTGATAAAATTCTTTCGGATTTGCCAGTTGCAATTCATATTTCATGTTTGGATCATGTCTCACACCTGTAACGTTAAGAAAAAAAATAATAATTATATTGTTTCAATTTTAGCTAAAAAACAAAAATCAAATCTTACCCATAAAGTTATAATTCCAAGATCCTTGACTTGGGACCATAAAGAAACCGAGGAAACGATCAGATAATAACATTTGTACTTTTTCGTAATGACTCGGTAAATACCCTTTAGGATTATTTCCCTTATCGGTATTTTGCTTTCCCCATTCAAAGCCGCTGCATATAAATACAAAATTAATAATAACAAGAAAACAATAAATGTTTAATAATGACGATAAATAATAAAAATCAAATACAAACCTAGGTGTTAATTTGTATGCCGTAAGAGAACAAGATCCTGGCGTAAAACTACAAGTAATAACAATAGTTTTTTCTCCATCCCAAATCGGATTTTCTGCCATTATTCGAGCGTGAGTAGATATATCCTAATCAAATATAAATTAATATAAAATAACATAATATAAAATACAATAAATTATAATAATAATTATAAAAATTTACTAAAAATAATAATTATAAAAATATAAATATATTAATAAATGTATTCAACAATATATGCTGATAATATAAACCTGCGGTGATAATTGTGGCAGCTCATTAGGTTGAGTATGAATCCAACCGAGAGGCTCCATTTCCTTAAGATATTGATGATTTGGAAGTGTGTTAGGTAAATGAACTGTTTGATGAGTACCCCATTGTGGAGCCATAACTATACATCGTATTTCTTTAACTTGTGGATTATCTGGTGGACTAATTCCGTATAAATATCCCGCTATCTACACAAATAACAATAATAATAACAACAGTAATAATATATTTAATTTCTTTTTGTGAAAATGAAAAAAGATAAATTTATTTTTATAAAATCAAATATATAAAAGGCATACCTGTGCTCGTAAATCTGAAATAGTGACGAATTTTTTAAGAACATTCTTTGGCAAAATATATGTATAACCAGTTTCTTTAATATCATCGGATGATACATATATATGATTAGTTCGAAGATGCAAATTGGTAGCAGAAATTGCTCTTACTCGCCATTCAGTTTTCGAACTAAATGTTTGTGTTTCATAATTGGAAGTTGTCGCCGTGATAATTTCGTCTCCATGTTTGTTTACTGTTCTTGTAGTCGTTGCTGTAAGCTGCGATTGTTCTTTTGTTTGCTTTTCTATTTCAGCAATTTGTTGACGTTGTGCAGAGGGTGCACTAATTTCCATACCCAAGATGATATCTCGAATTTCTGATTGAGTCAATGATGCAACATTCACACTAAGAATAATAATAATTTTATATTAGGTGGATATTTATATTTTTATACATACAAATAAAATATTAAAAAATACATACTTATTTTTTTTACCATAGTCAGCCAAAATAAGATCTTTTAATTGTACTTCGACTTTAATCCATTCATCATCTGTTAAAGAAGGCCATATATGATGTGGTTCTGTTATAGTTGTTTTGTCAGGTTTTAAAACAACTTTTGTTCTTTCAGTATTGACATGTAATGCACGAAGAATTAGAATTAAACGTGAGAATGCCTATAAAAAAAGATAAAAACAAATAAATATATTTAAAAAAATATATAAATTATATATATAAATAATATTAAAAAAAGGAATTAATAAAAAAATTATCAATTATTACCGTATACGATGAAATTGTTTTCAACCAATCATCATATAAATTGAATAATACCATTTGAGGTTCTGTTGCTTTTAATATCAAATCACCGAATTTTTCAACTTTTAAACAAGCTTGGAATGGTAATTGGAGTTCTGATCCCTTGATAACAATATTAGGAAAATCTAGTAAATGTACTTCTAAAGGATCCAACATTCCTTTTCTTGTTACTATAATTTGCTTCGGCTGTTCTTCAACTGGTAAAGATCGAATAAGAGCAGCTACTTCTTCAGCAGTTTTCCATTTTGCCAACTATAATAATATAATGTTAATTATAGAATAAAAACTTTCAATCATATTCATTATTTACTTTTTCATAATTGTAACGAATGTATTAAATGCATGTTACATACCTGACCTAAACGTTTTTGACCAGCCCAAACGGATGTATGAATAATCTTTAAAAATAATTGACCAGTCCGAGGATTGAAAATAAAGATTGCTCCATTTATAGGTTTTGTAGTTAAATTACCCTCAAATGTTTTATGAATTGTAACACGATATACGTTAGTATCATCGACAAACCTAATAAATCAAATAAAAAAAAGTGTTTGATATAACAATTATATATTCATCATACGAATAAAAATAAATGTAAGAAAAAAAAATACCAAATAATTTGATTCGAAAAAAGTTCTCCATAATTTTGTGAAGATAGATATGGTTCTGTAGGTTCTGATGAATAAAGTTGTAATGCCTTTCGAATGCGTTCTCGTAATACATATAAAGCAGGATTAGCTTTCATTATTTTTGCCATTGCTTGTTGTATAAGAGGTTTACACCCTGGGAACCAGTTACCATAAGCGCTATAAACAAAAATGCAAATAAATAAATCATGAAATATTTTTACATATATGAATATTATCTGCTAAAGATCATTTTTATATATAGCAATCAAAAAAATTGTCTTTTGCCTTTTTGATTTGATACATTTAAATATATATCTTATTTGATATTCAATAGATTGAGATAAAGAAAATTTCATTTTTATTTTTAAATCAGAAAAAATAAATATTTGATATAATCGAACATAGCAAGAATTACATTTTGATAATTAAGTTTTGAATTCCAATATAATTTTAAAATTGCAATTAATAAATAAAAATATTTAAATATTAAAATATATACCTATGTAAATTATAAGCTAAATCTATAGCTATTAATAATCCTGTTGGCGACGGATAAATAGACATATTATCTGTTGTATAATCTAAGAATTTAGCTCTAGCATATCGTTCGATATCATGAGAATCATAATCTCCCCATCTAAGTTGCACATCTATCCAATATTTTTGTGTAGTTGTATTATCCATAAGATCTCTGTTCAAAAAAATAAATCATTAATAACAAAATATATTTTTATAATATATAAATGAAAATAAAAAAAAATGATTACTTACTTTGAATCGGCAAGTAATGATGGTCTAGATACATTCCATTTATATGCAGAGAAAAGCAAAATATCAGCACAAGAAGAATTCATTTTGTATGATTTTCTAGGATGAATGGTCTCTTTTTGAACAGTCTCAATTTCTAAAGCATCTAATTCTTGATCAAAAACTTGACAAAGATCCATCACGATCGATTCGTGTACTTTTTGCCACAAATGTGCACGAAATATTTGAATTAATGAAATCTTCAATGTTGGAATTTTACCATGCATAAATATTCCTGTTAAATCCAATTGAACCTAATAAAAAACAAACAATAAATAAAATTTATATATAATAAATAAAAATTTCAAGAAATCATTGAGAATAATCAAAAATATATATTTCTTATTATAATAAATTAGTATATAAATATTACCTGAAAACCAACGTAAACGTTTGCTCTATTAATAGTTGGTGACCACCATAGAGTAAATCGACGATTTGGAATTTGATTCAAACCAGATCTTTGAGCGTTAGTTAATTTCTTATATTTCATAGATTCTTCAAATCCAGATGCTTTCTCCCTGTGTAAAAAAATAATAAGCGATAGATCAGCATTTTAATTCTTACATTAATTAAATTTTTATAAATTTAAATTTATGAATAAAAATCTAAAAAATCTAAAAAAATTTTAAAAATAGAATTAGAAAAAAATTAGAAAAAAATTACCAGAAAAGACCCTCCCAGGTTGGAAAGTATGTTCCTTTGAAAAGAGTATGTTCTAAAATACCTTCTACACCACCAAGGGCTTGTATCATATCTGTTCGATAATTATTTAAATTCCACAATTTACCATCATGACGTTGATGAGTCCACCAAAATGGATTTTGTTTTAATACCTAAAATCATATAAACAAAAAATAATACTTCTTATATAAAACATAAACGAAAATAGATTCAATAATAAAATGCAATAAGATAATACCTGATACTGTTTAAATTCTGTACGTATTCTCCAACCTTTATCATAAGCAAGGGTATGTCTATCTTTCTGGAATAAAGTATTTATTCTAGGAAT